GAGTAACAGGCAGGATGCAAGTGGAGGCAGGCGGCTTCCGCGGACCTCGGTCCCTGTGCCCGTCCAGCAGGACCCTGAGCCCAGCTCCCATCTGGGGCAAGGGCTCCGCGGTGGCAGGCAGGAGGGGCTGCATAATGAGCTCCGGAAAGCTCTAGAATGCCGTCTGTCGCCATTACACTTGACGGAGGGTGTGGTGAATAGCAAGGGCTTGGGGCATGTGGTTGGATTTTGGGTTTTTCCTTGCAGGACTGTGCCGAACCTGCAGCATTGGGAAGCTCTTGGCCTCTGCCCTTTCTCTGAAACGTGCCTCTTCTGCCTGGACGGCTTGGTCATTCTTTCCTCATCCATAACCTTGAATAGCTTCACCAAGATCCATGCTAGTGTCAATATTTTATATTAATTTTTCCTGGGATATGGTGCTCTTGATTTTTTTGAATTAGGGTATAATTTGCATAGCTAAAATGCCCAACTCTTAAGCACACGGCTTGACTGTTTACATGTTTACACTCTTGCTAATCCACCCAGGTCACAGCATGGAACTTTCCAGAGCTTCTCTTACCCTTCCTTTCCCCTCCCCAAGCTGATGGGTATGCTAGCTTCTGGAGGGCCCCGTCTGCCATCGGGCCTCTCGGGGTGGATTCATCCGCCCGCCTTCCTGACACTCCTCTTGCTCCGCGCGATGTGCTAGTGGTCACCCCATGTGGTTCCAAATGTCCGTTGGCCCCTTCCGGGCCGGTGTGTGGTTTCCGATTCTGAGTGTTTGCTTTGACCTCATTTTTATTGTTGGGGTTGTGTACTTCTCATGCCGTTTTCCCATCCCAAACCTGTGGTGTCTTTTCTGAGTGAGAACACCCTTGTGGCTACAAGAGCCCCAGAGTAGGAAGCCCAGCATTGGTGTGGCAAGGTTGGGTTCCCTAAGAGCCAAGCGGCCTCCCCACCTCAGCGCCCTTCCCAAACTCCTGCTTACACGTCAGGACCCACTGGCAGTGCTGTTCGAGTCACTGCTCCCTGGTCTCTGCTTCTAATGAGGCCTGCATGTGCTGCTTTCCAGCACCTGGCAGGCAGTGCCCGCTGTGCCTCTGTGTTTCTCCCCTTTCATGAACTCCCAGAGCAGCCCCTGTGGCGCTCTGTCCATCTTTGGGGGTGTCCCTGGTGCCCAGCACAGCAGGAGTGGATGTCCTGGGCCAGTTCTGCCTGACTGCAGAGCATGGAGGTGCCAGTCAGCACTGGTCAGGCCGGCCGCTGGGTCTTGTTGTGCCCGCCGCTTCCTGCCACCCTTGCATTTTCTCCTCTTAGGGCCACTGGTGTGTCTCACCTGGAACCTTCTCACCAACAGCCCATCTGTTACTTCACAGATCCTGCCATGCAGGAGCCGTGCACAGCTTGGCTGAGGTCTCTGCCAGGGTCTCCTGGGGCTGCCATTCAGCTGTCCTGGGCTCCAATCTCCTGTGGAGCTTGAGGTCCGTCCCCGACCATTCAGGCTGTGGAAGGATTTCCATCCTACGGCTGTGGGGGTCAGGCCTTCAGCCTCCAGGGGTAACTCAGAGGCCTGTGCCTCTCCTGCTCCTTCTGTCAGGAGACTGGGAGTCCTTCCTTTCCGTGTCACCTGTGTCCTGGCTCCGTGTCCACTTGCTTCAGTTGACCCACGGCCTCTTCTCTGAACAATGGTCCTCTTTCTCTGAGTTCTTTTTATTTTGTTTGGTTTGGTTTGGTTGGTTTGTTTTGAGACAGGGTCTCACTCTGTCACCTAAGCTGGAGTGCAATGGCATGATCTCGGCTCACCGCAATCTCCACCTCCCGGGGTCAAGTGATTCTCCTGCCCCAGCCTCCCGAGTAGCTGAGACTAACGCAATCACCACTACGCCTGGCTTATTTTTTTTTTTTTTTTTTTTTTTTTTTTTTTTTTGCGGAGACTGGGTTTCACTATGTTTGCCAGGCTGGTCTCGAACTCCTGACCTGGAGTGATCCTCTTGCCTCGACTCCCGGAGTTCTGTGATTACACGCGTAAGCTCCCTCGCCAGCCTAGACTCGGCTACTTTTGGATCAAGAAATCCAGAAGTTTCTAGACTGTGAACTTGCTCTTTACCATGGACATTCACCACCTGCAACTTCCCAGGGGTTCTCTGTCTCGCCCCACACTGTGAGGACCCCCTTACCAAACAGAATTCCAGGGTGCTGGCTCTTCGCGGGATCTGAGCTATTCGCCGGCGTCCTGAGTTGCTTGGGTTCACTCCCCCACCCTCGTGTCCCTGCCTGAGTCCTGCCCTGTGTTTTCGATTCTGTTTGTCAGGGGCCCTAGCGTGGGGCTTCTCTGTGGGAGAGCAGGAGGGAAGCGGTGAGGGGTGATTCCGGAGGAGGCAGAGCCCCAGGTGTCCGTGGGAAGCTCCAAGGCCGGGCCACGGGACGGCCACCCTGGGCTGTGACACAGTCCAGCATCTTCGCTAAGGCACCTGCTGGAGGCTCCGCCTGGGTCCCAGGACCCTGACTGCGCCGGGCGGCTGCCAGCGAGGAGGCGGGGCCGAGGCGAGGGCGGGGCCGAGGTGGGGGGCGGGGAAGGAGGGGCGGGGTCTGTCTGATGGGCGGGGCTTCTGGATGGGCGGGGCTGCCAGCTCTGAGGTCTGAGCCCGGCTCCCGGCGGAGGAAGCTGACGACTCCTAGAGGCTCAGTGCGCGAGCCCGAAGTTGGGCCTGGAAAGGGGGCACCGCCTTCCCGGTTCTGGTGGATGGGGAGTGAGGGGAAGGACAAAAGCGGCACAGGGAATAGCATGACACGGGCCCGGGGCAGGGCGCATTTGGAAAGGGGCGAGGAGAGGACAGTGGCCTCCGGCACGGCGGCCGTGGGCCTGGAGAGGCAGTCGGGCCCCGTCACGAAGAGCCTCCGCCCGGCGTAAGGAGCCGGGACTGTCTAGGAGGCAGTGGAGGCTCCGGAAAGCCAAGCGCCTCCCGCCCAGGCTCGCGTGCTTGGAGTACCGGAGACTGCAGAGCAAGAGAGGGTCTTCAGAAGACCCACGACGTTCCACCGGGATGCGGAGGGGAGCGGTTATTTGTACTTCTACATCATCTCTTTTGGGGGTGTATGTGTGTGTGGGGGGGTGTGTGTGTGTTGTTGTTGTTGTTGTTTTGTGACAGAATCTCTGTCACCCAGGCTGGAGTGCAGTGCTCATCTCGGCTCACTGCAGCCTCTGCCTCCTGGGCTCAAGTGATCCCCCCGCCTCAGCCTCCCGAGTACCTGGGACCACAGGCGCCTGCCACCACGCCCGGCTAATTTAAAAAATATTTTTTTTAGTCGACACAGCGGTCTGTGTTGCTCAGGCTGGTCTGAAACTCCTGGACTCAAACCATCCTGCCGCCTCGGCCTCCCAAAGTGCTGGGATTACTGAGCCACTGCGCCCACCCGGTCTAAGTGTTTTATTTATTTATTTATATTTATTTATTTTTTTGAGACAGAATCTTGTTCTGTCGCCCAGGCGGGAGTGCAGTGGCGCAATCTCAGCTCACTGCAAGCTCCGCCTCCCGGGTTCACGCCATTCTCCTGCCTCAGCCTCCCGAGTAGCTGAGACTACAGGCACCCGCCACCACGCCCGGCTAATTTTTTTTTGTATTTTTAGTACAGACGGGGTTTCACCGTGTTAGCCAGGATGGTCTCGATCTCTTGACCTTGTGATCTGCCCGCCTCGGCCTCCCAAAGTGCTGGGATTACAGGAGTGAGCCACCGCGCCGGGTCAAGTGTTTTACTTTTTATGTTTTACAACAGCTTCTAATTTGTTACAAATAAACGTGCAGCATGTGGTGGGAGTGTTCAGGTGTTTACTGGTGCAGTGCGCAGGGAACGCGGTTCCAGGCGCGAGATGTGGAGGCCCAGAGGCAGAAGCCCCGTGGCGGCAGCGCGCGCAGGGGACTGTCGGAGGAGCAGGCGGGGACCTGGGCTCCCAGGGCTGTGCCCACCCCCGCCCCAGGTCCAGTTCCAGGGGCGCGTCTGGCCCTTTGTTGCTGTCTTATTAGGGTTCTTTCATGGGGGTTGGTTCTTAATTCTTTCTTTTCTCCCCAGAGAGGGTCTACTTGTTGTAAGAGGGAAGAGTCCACACCGCAGCAGTACACTTTGCACACATGATGAAAAACGTCACTTTTGCAGCATTCCAGCTGGAGATGCGTGACCTTCAGTCTGCGGCGGGCGGCAGGGCGAGAGGCTTGGACAGGAGGTGCATCTTGCCCGGGGAAGGCTGAACGAATGAGAGCTCGGTCCCTGGTGAGAAAGAGCCCAGAGCATGCGAGAGGCGGGCAGCAAAGGCTTCTCTGCAGCGGAGACGCGAGGGCGGCGACCTGCAGGGAGGCGGGGGCAGCGCCTGGGGCGCTCCAAGCTCTCGACCCCAAGGAAGCCCACGCTCG